TTTTATATAAAATTTTATAGATATCTTGTTTTATTAAATAATTAATAATATAAATAAATATATATTTTCCAAAATTATGGCCATGTAATTTTCTGTCTTTTCTTCAATGGTGCTCCCTACAAAACATGTGAAAATTTTTATGTTAATTTTTTATATATATATTATATTTATTAAGTAATATTTGTTATCTTTTATTTATATTACATAATTCTATGTTTCATTTATGAATATTATATCATTTATGATACAATATATCCATTATACATTTAAAATACAAACTTAAATTTTTCAATCCTATATCAAACTAGACTAATATTCTATTTTATTTGTCTTTTTAATTTTAATACATGAATACATAAAAATGTATTCATTTAAATTATAATTTTTTTTCTTTATATATATATATAAATAACAAAAATATATGAATAACATTTTATTTCAAATTGTTATTAAATTAGTTAGAAAAATATGAAAATATATCAAAATTATAAATACCTTTTTAAGTTGAAAATATCTTAATAATTATAAATGCTTTAGAATAAAATTATTTAGAAGAAAATTATTTAGTTATTCAGACCAAGTAAAATCAAAAGAAAAAAATTTTTAAAAATAAATAATATATAAAGAATTGAATAGAGAAATAATCGTTTAAAAAATAAAGATCAAGTTATATAATTAATAACTAATAATAAATATACCTACATCATATTTTTCATCATTAACATGTTTGTCAATATCATTACATTTTGTAAAATTATTTGAATTATTCAAACGTATTTTCTTAGAAGTTTGTTTAATTTCATTTGTAGAAGATTTTGATCTCACATAAGAAGATTCAAGCATTTTTGTTGTTTCATTAATACATATTTTTGTACTATTTGTATTATTCCTAAAAAAAATTTATATACTTTTCTTATTAAAAATAAAAAACAAAAATATTACATAAAGAAGAGGAGAAAATAAAAAACAAAATAAAACAGCAATTAGAACATAATAGAAGAAAATTTCCTACGATAAATATAAGAAAAGATACGAGGAAAGGAATATAGAAATACAGAAATCTGATAATAAAATTTCAATATATTCAAAATTAAATTACAATTGCAAAAAAAAATTACAGAAGAGATTATGTGTAGAATATTTGAAAAGACAAAAATATATAATATATTTTAAGTATTTTATTATAAGTATTTTATGTTTTAAATAAAACTGTAAAACTAATGAAAAAGTTATATGAGATAAAAAAAGAAGCAATGAAAAAAATTATAAAAAAAAAAAAAGAAAATGAAAAAAAAAACAAACAAAAACTAAAGATTAATAGTGGTTTAAAAATACATAAAAATAATAAAAGAATATAAGTTAAATGATAAAAGTTTATATAATTATTTTTATTATAATATTGTTATCAAATACTATATAACTTATATTTGGATTCTATATATAATTCTATATAATTTATTTTTGAATACAGGCTAAGTTATGTTAAAATATTACAATGCAGAAGTTTATGTGTGAAAGTTATCTTTAATATTTCAATTAATATGAAACAATTTATATTTTAAATAATATAAAGATTTTAAGATTAAGATTTAAAGATAAAAAAATAAAAAATTAAAAATAAGAAAATAGCATAAAAACTAATATATATATAGATATTTTTATTATAATATCATAATTATCATATATCATAGTTATCATAATACTATTATAGTTTATTTTTTATTATTAAACTATTAAATTAAAAAAACTATATGATATATAATACAAATTATATAGTGATATATAATAATTTATGCTCTAAATGATATAAAATTAGTTAAGTTATTTTCAAAGTAACTTCTAATAATAATTCTGAAATAATGATATGTTGTAATTGAATGAATGATATATCATTTATAAAATCAGAAATCATCTTAAGATTAAGAAATAAATAATAAATATTATATTAAAACAAAAATATTAAAACAAAAATTATATAAAAATGTTTATATAAAAATGTTAATATTAATTATATAAAAATTATATTAACATATGAATTAAAAATATGATACATAATAATAATCATTTAACCATCTATCTCGTGAATTATTTATAATTTATTTTAAATATATTCTATCTATATATTGATTGTTAAAAATTCTAATGTTTATTGTATTTATTTATATTAATAATTTTTTATATGTTGTAAAAATTGAAAATTTTAGAAAAATATTTATATGTATAATAGTTTAATAATTGTAAATATTCTCTTATTTTGTTTCTAAATTTTACTAGAATTTTACAGATTCTAATAAAACTATAGTCATTAATTAAATATAATTGATATAGCAATCAATATATTAAACATTTACTATCTAAAAAATTAATAACTTATTTATAAGAAATGAATATTTTTAATATATATATCATTATTATTTATCATATATACATTTATTGTAATTGGAACTTTAATATTTTATTAGTTTATAATAAATAAGTTTATAATAATTTTACAAATGTTTTACTCACAATGAAATTGAATTTCTATATAATTCATTATCAAAATGTGTTGCTTCATTATGTCCTTTTATTTCTAAATTTTGCATATTTTCAGAATGTCTTTGAGGTAATGGTAATGCTACCCGTTTATATAGTTCTATTAATTCAAATCTAGATAAATTTTTAAAATCACTGAAGTCAATACATCTCTATAAAATAAAAAGATTTAAATAAGTATATTATATATATATGTAAAAAATATATATATTTTTTTTTTTGATAAATTAATAAAAAATATATGTTAATATTAATATCAAACTAAAAAATACTTTAAGAATTTTATTTTTCAATCAAAGACTAAAATAATTAAAAAAAAATAATTATCATCTTTTGACAATACTATTTTTTTACAATTTTTTTTGTTACAAAAAAGAATAATAAAATTATTGAATACAAAATTGTAATTTAAATCTTTAAATATTCACTCAATATTAAATATCTATAATTCAATATTTTCGATTTAATATAAAAAATTAAATTTCTTAAAATTTAATCAAATAAACATAACCTGTTTGACTTACATTTTCTAAAATTTCCTTAAGTTCAGAATCTGACAATGATTCAGGATGAGTTAATTCATACATTCCTAATGTCAACATTCTGCTAAATACTTAATTCACTAATAAAAATTACTGTATTATATTAAGTGACCATTTGACAATTCACAAATACGTAATACTATTTAAATATTAGTTCATGCTTATCATTCGTTATTTAATATATGTATATGATAATAATTATTTAATTTTTATTTATTATGATGTATTCATTATGCAAATTTTAATGAATATAAAAAAATTTTATATATCATGAAATAAAATATATTATTATTATATACATTATATTGAAATAAAATGTACTATTACATTAACACATTGTATTGAAATATTTCAATGCGGTAACAAAAATTGAAAGCACTTCTCAGACAGATATCAATTTTTTAATAACTATAAGAAAAGATTAAAACAGCGAAGAATGCAACAAAATCCAATATGGCTATGCACACTGATGGCAAACATCAATACTTGAATTAGACATGCAAGAGAAAAGTATTTGAAAAAATTTTTTTTTATCTTAAATTTCTTAAAAAAATTCGTGACACAACTGTACGCATCATCGGTTATATAATAGGAAATCCTTATAGCGTACATGTGCGTCACTCGCGGTAAATATATAAACAAAATAACATAATAATAAAATATATATTTTGTTTATTCATATGCATAAGTTTCTGATTCATTACCATGGCAACTATTAGTACTCATATAATAAATTGAATATGTACATAAAAATTTTTCCTTAATATTTTAAAATTTATTTTAGTGGTAATAAGAATATTCTTTTATAATTAAATAATCAAAATTTTTTGATAATATTTTAATTCAAATAAGTAAATAATAATAAATAATTATAACTAAATTAATAAATTAATAACTAAATTAAATATACGATATCCACAGAAAGTTATGAAAAAATAAGTATATAAAATTATAAGAGTATTAGGAATATTAATTATTTAATTATTAATTAAAAATGTAATATTTTTAAATTATTTATATTTTAATATTAACATTTCTGCAATCGTAAATAATTTATAAACATAAATTTTATATTTTTTTGTAATATATATAATTTTCTACAAATAATAACAAATATTAATTTTATTTTTTAGATAGTAATGTATTTATTAAATAATTTGCAGATTAAATACATTATAAAATTGAAAAAATAATGAAAAGGTATAAAAATAATTTGATATTATATTTTTTTCTAAAACTAACTTTCTTTATTTCTTTCATTATTAGATTTGTCATTATTGTATTCAATGTGTTTAAATTTTTTCATTTCATTTATATTTCTTTATACCTAACTACATACTAAAAAAAATCTATACATAATCATAACAATTTAAAAGTCATAAACAATAAAGATAAATAATGAATAATTTACATTCATTAAAACAAATCATTTACACTTCTCATACATATATATATAGCAGAGTAAATAAAATTATATGATTTTTATTTGTTTTAATTTAATATCTTATGAAAAATAGTATAATTTTTCAGAAGAATAAAAAATCAGTATTTATTAATAAAATTATTTTTAAGAATGTATTTTATATGATAGGATAAGTATTATTTAACTTTTAAATTAATAATAATGTTTGAATTAAAATATGCTGTAATTTTACATATAAAAAGTTCTCTTAAAGTATGTATTACAACCTTAATTGGGCATAAATTCAATTAGCAACGTTTTTAATTCTATAATGCATTTTACTAGATTGGACAAAGTTATCTTTAAAGATTTTCTTTATTCCTTGTTAATTTATTTGTTTAAAACTGTATCCAATCATCAAAACCTGAGATTTTTTATTTTAAATTTCAGTACATAACATACTTTCACTATTTTGCTTCAAAATAATTTTAATTAATTATATTAATATTTTTTTTTATTTTTCTGTGCGTATTAATTTTTTTTGTTTCATTCTAATAATTGATTTTAATTATAATTATGAATTATAAATTATAAGTAAAATTAATTTTTTTTTTTAAATAAAGAAATAGTAATTGTGATTATAACATTATTGTAACAATTTTTGATAATTTTATGATATTAAACATTAAAAGTTATATGCATTTATTTTTCTATCGACAATGTATATCAATATAAATATTATTTTAATAATATAGTTTGTGTTAATTGTATTATCATCCAGCACTTTCTGGCGTAACTTCCTGCTTCTCTATTCTGAACGCCATTATCTAGTATTGTTATGGTATGATTCACGCCATAATTCTTCAAAACTATTTAATAATAGTTTTGATGACAGAAATAATGAATTGCTGGTAGAAATAAAATAACAAACATGATGTAAAATAAAAAAAGAAAACAAGATTTCAATCATTTTAATAAGATATAATAAAATCAACAAGAAGAACAAAAATTTAATAGTAATATTTCTATAATCATACTCATTATAATCATAATCATATAAAAATAGAAATTTTTTTACAAAAAACAAAAAAAATTCATTGTCAAGTAAAGCATTCTAAACAAAGATATATAATTTTTAAAAATAATTATGAATATTGAATTAATTATATTATGTTAATTTTTGTTTATAAATAAAATTATATACAAACAAATTGTGATATTCAATCTAATAATAAATTAATATATTTTTAATTATTTAATTATAATATACTTAATTTCATATATTTTATATATATTATATATATTAATGTATAAAATATTTATTAATTTTTTTGATTTTATTTGTATAAATCAAATATTTAAATCAGAAATAAAAATTATAATTAAATAATTTAAAGTTGAAAAAATTTTTAACTTTTAATTAGTATTGCAAAAATTTAAAATAGTAATAATAATATATTAAAATTTATTAATTAAAATTTTTATTAATAAATTAATTAAAATTTATTATTAATAAAGATAATGCAGCCATATCACTGACAATCATTAATAAATCATAATCAAAGTTATAAAAATTATATTGATTTTTATACATTTTAATTCAAATAAATATTTTTTCATGAAACTAACATAATTTAATTTAAGATACATACAATTACATATAACAAAATGTATTTTTGTTATTAATTTTGTAAATAAAGATTAATTGAAAATGGTCCCATTTTAGAAAATATGAAAAATAACTGTACTAAAACATTTAATTTTCTACCAGCAATTTTCTTAAAAGATATTGAATGAGTTTATAAATTAGTATATAATTATAATATATAAATTTTTCTTTTAAAAAATTAATAAATGAAATGCAAGTAAAAAGGCACTATATTTGGGTATGGGAAACAATCAAGTATTTAGGCCTCCCTAATTTTTTTCTTTACCACTTCCAATAAATCACAGATTTCTCATTAAAGAAGTTACGCCGCTGCGATTGAACAACCTTCATTTTATTATACATGTAAAGTCTTGATCAATATTAAACATATGCATATTAAAAAAAATCAATGTGAATTATAAACAGCCATTTAAATTAGTATTATTTAAATTAGTTTCAATAGTATTCAATAATATATTGGAAGCATAAAGTAATGTTTATAGTCATATCACTTTATATAAACTAGGATGGAACCATTATTCTATAAACAATTTTTCCATTGTTAATCATATTTGACTAGTGGAAAAAATTATTAATTGGCAAGAGAATGTTTAATTGTTCCACGCACACCATACTATATTTTCCAATGATGAATATATTTCATCATTATTTTATGTTATGTAAAAAGACTGGTGTTAGTTTATATTGACTGTCGAGGATGACATTTATTTAGTTTTTATTTCATTAAACAGGTGTTTCATGATCAGTTTCTTCAATTCTTCCCAATCTCCATGCATTTGGATCTCCTGCTGCTGCAATAAACATAAATTTTTTATTGCTTGAGAATAACAAATATTTTTTATTATTTGAAAATAATAATACACTTATATAATTAAATATTTAAAATATTTAATAAATTAATATATTACATTATTACATATTATTATGTATTAATATATACTAATATATATATAGAGTGTGTGTCATTTAATTGAATACAATTGAATATCTTAAGAGGAATTATCAAAAAAATGTTTTAACAAAAGTTAATTCAAAATGTTATGAATTATTAATTAATTTAAAATGAATTAATTTTTTTGTAGATCAAATAGAAGAGATATTAAAGTCAATTTCATTTTTTTAAATAAAACTACATAATTTTAAATGCATCAATTAATTTATCTAAGTATTTTCTATAAAAAAATATTAATCTATTTATATTGAAAAATAGATTTTAATTTAAATATTGCAGTTCTGTACTATTAGAATTTGAGAGCTGAGAAGATGATAATCACTTGCGAGTATTTTATAAAACAATTTTAGTTCAATTAAAACAATCAACAATTAGAAAAATGGAATATATGTATTTTCTTTTGCCTAAATAAATCTTGTTTAATATTAATGCTTACTAATATTAATTAATACTTAATATTATATGGTATATTGGCTACTATATATTAAGTATTTTATTTAACTAAAAACGATGGGTAATAAAGAAAATGCATGTTTCATTTTTATATATTTATCATTTACATATTTACATATCTATAAATTGTCTTAATGAAGAATCAATTATTGATTGTACTTTCCAGTCCTGAATTTTTTAATTGAAATATCTATTAAATCAATGGTTTTTCAATATAAATAGATTATTATTTTTTTTAGAAAATATTCAAATAAATTGAATAATGAATTCAAATTATATGATTCTATTAAAAATGAAAAAATTAAAAAATGAAATTGATCTAAAAATCTCCCTTCAATTCACAAAAAAATAATTTGAATTGTATGATCTTTTTTTAAATTATTTAACTCTTGTTAAAATATTTTTTTGATAATTTTAACTTTCTTTATGAGATATTCTCATTTAAAGAAAACACCCCATGCATATATATTATATTCCATGTATATGTGTAAAATGTGCTTATGAACAATTACTAAACATTTTCAAGATAAAACTCAAAATTATTTAAATATGAATAGATAAAAAAAATATATATAAAAAAAACAAAAAATTAAATTAGATTTTAAATAAAATAATTAAGAAATCAAAAATTTTAAATATATATATCACTACAAGAAAATAAATAATTATATGTAACATATTAATACTAAATAAAAATAAATTTTTTTCTTTAGATTTCATAGTTGAAA